CTGGGTGGTTTGCACGTGATTTTAGCACGAGCCCGAGAGGCAGAATTCCCGGTTCTCTTCGGTTGGAGCTTGCCTAGCACATCTCCGTTTCCCCCTTCCCTTGTCCCGTGCAAACGGAAGAAAACTGTTCCGTGAAGTTGCAGCTCGGCGTTATTAAACGCTTCCAGGTTCTCCGCTATAGCACTAGGAGGATAAAGTAATTATTATTACTAATTATGACGAATCGTGGTGGCTCTTCCCCGCGAGCTCCGCACACAAGAGCTGCAGAAAGGGTTAATTAATGATTTTCTGCTGCCCAGCTTCTTGGTGCAGCGATAACGAACAGCGGTTTGTGCCCCGAACCCACCCAGCGTTCCGCCCGCCGGGCTTTGCTCCGGCTGAATCCGTGCCCATTAATGTGCTCAGCAGCAAAGCTCGGTGTGGTCCCGAGGCAAAGCTCGGGAAAAGAATCCCCAATCGGCCCAGTGAATTGCCTGACTATGGAAGAGATTCAGATTTAGCGTCTCCTGGGAACTGGGAGATGTTTCTACATTTTTTTTGACTTCTCCTTTGTGCAGCCAGGGCTGAGGAAGTGGCTAATGATTGACTCCGTGACCCTGGAGTGTGTTTGCAGGGCTGAAACAGTTAATCCTCTGTGTTGTGTGGTGTGTGCCCAGGATGTCGTCACCTTGGCGTGCCGTGCTGGCCGTCTCCATGGCCCTTGTTGTCAGCGTCGGGGCGGAGCCGGCGCAAGAGAGGAGCTGCGACGTGGTCGGAGATGAAGGCAGCGAGTCGCAAGTGGAGAGAGCCCTGCTGCAGAAACTGGAGCCCCTGAGCCACATGAGGTACAGCACGACCCCCCGCGGGCCCCGGTGCCCGCCCCGAGGGCAGGGTGAGGTTTGGGGCCGCGGGCTGCCCCAGCAGCGTGGGCTGCGCTGAGCCCCTTCTTTGTAACCCCGTGGGCCATCCCTTCTCTCCTCTCCCTGCTGCAGGTTTAACGTGACCGTGGAGAAGAGCAAAACAGAAAACTACGTCTACCATTTCAGGGTGTGCAGGGAGGTCAACAGCACGCTGCACGACTTCGGCGGCCTGGTGCAGACAGACAGACAGAACGGAAAGACCACAGTGATAGGACGGATCAACGAAACCCAGGTCTTCAATGGAAGTAAGACTCTGCCCAGTGCTGTTCTTTCTCAGTATCCTGAGAAATCCTGCTCTGGATTCGCCGCCTGGTTTGTCTCCCTCCTGGCAGGTGACTGGATCATGCTGATTTACAAAGGAGGCGACTCGTACGGCACGCACTGCAGCGGCGAGAAGAGAAGAGCTGCCATAATGATTTCCTGCAAGCGGGGAGTCACCGCGGTGAGTGACACGCAGTGGGGGAGAGGGGCAGGAGGCTGTTCCTAGGGAAGGGCTGTTGGTAGGGAAGGGCCGTTGGTGGGGAAGGGCTGTTCATAAGCAGAAGGGCTTTGAGGAGGCAGCAAGGTTTTCTGCTGGCCTCCGGTGCCTGCTGCACCAACAGCGGTAAAACTGCCTTCTGGTGGAGCTCAGCATGCCTGGACGTGCTTTTCACAACTTAAACTTTTCCCAAACCACAGAGTTCATTCTGCAGTGCCGCACCGCCGCAGTCACTGGATGGTTTGCACGTGATTTTAGCACGAAGCCGAGAGGCACATCTTCCAGAATTCCTGGTTCTCTTCGGTTGGAGCTCACCTGGAACATCTCCGTTTCCTCCTTCCCTTCTCCACTGCTCTCCAGCGCCATTTGGAAACGCAGCAAACGCTACTCTAGACTAGTTAACTGAAGTATCCACAGCCACCGTGGGATGTTATCGTGCCTCTGAGCTTTCTGGACAAAAGCTCTTGCTCAAGGCACGATTCTCAAGCAGCTCTGCAGCTGCTCTGTTCCCTGTAGACGTCCTCCTTCATAGTTCACGGGCAAAAGCACTGAAACATGGAAGACATGGCTTCCTAAAGTTGTACGACAGCTCTTTGCCAGAGCTGGGAATTCAGACCAGGAGTCTCGATTCATTTTCTGTGTTTGTGCTTAGAGGCACTACTTCG